CCTCGGTAGTTGGTCACCCATTGAGAGGAGTATTGGGTGGATAATTTGAGAACCCGAACGTTCTCAAAAAAATTGACGGAGACAATCATGTAGGTTTGGCGACTGGTTGGATAGACTGGTCAATCAAGTTGGGCAACCAATCAGGTAGAATAGTCAAGCAAATTGGGCGACCAGTCAAGTTGACTAGCCAACAAGGTCAGGTGACTAGTCAGGCGGACTGGTAAGGCAGTTTGGACGACCAATCAGGCAGACTGGTCAGACAGGAAGAATGGACTGATCGAGCGAACTGGTTAGGTAGACTGATCGAACTGGTCAGATGAATTGGATGGATAGGCTAATTGGGCGTACGTAATATTCTTTTAAAAAATAAAAATAAAAAAAAAATAATTTTGAAAAACAAAAAACAAAACAAAACAAAAAAGAACAAGCGAGCCAGCTAGCCGGTCAGCTAGGCAAGCCGAGTGATCAGTTGGCCAGATGTCCTAGCTGGTCGGTCCGGTCCAAAAACTGTAACACCCCGTGTTACGACCCCTAAAGCCAATTAATCATTTAACCAATTATCCAAAGAAAGAATTAAATTACAATAATTAATTAGGAAAAGGCCCACCATAGTCCGTGGGCCCTCACCTCTAAACCCAACCCCTAGTCCTAAAAGGAATAGAGTTAGCAAGCCTATAGTATTTGGGCCCTAATTAGGACTCTTAGATATATAAATAGGGGACATAGGAGGCACCTAGAACCCCCACCACAATAATCTCTCACCACACAAGGAGTTCCAAGAATTCCCCTAGGAGAAATCAAGAAAGAATAAAGACTTAGAGGAAGACCCTTCATAGCCAAGGAAATCAATTAAGGCTAAGAGGTAACTCATGTCTCAACAAAACCTATTTTCCTAGCTATGATCTCCCTCTTAGGCATCCTCCTATATTCTTGTGTCTTGATGAATTGTTATGATATTGATGATGTGATCTTGATAATTGGTGATATGGTTTTATCTTGACATTCTTGATGATGATAAGAGTTTCTTGATGGTTGTGTGATGTTCTTGATGAATCTTGATATTTCTTGATATTAAAAGATGGGTTACGTTCTTGATGATTTAATTGTGATTAGAGCCCTAGGATGTAACGTGAAACTCGTATGATGTTATTCTTAATGTATTGGGTGGGAATTCGTATGTTTGGGGTGTTAATTATGTTTAGAAAGCATGATAGGATATGTGCCGTATGTTTCTCGCTTTTGATCCGTTAATTGTCTACGTGTTGCCATCAATTGCGTTTTAAAGTGTCTAAGCATGGTTTCGGGTTCCACAAAGGATCCCGGGGCGTTATTGGTGAAAAAGAGTCAGTGGGGGGTAGGGAACCCGCCACCTACCCGCGGCTAGGATGGACGTCGCCGGCGGGCAGGCGACTGCCCGTCGGGCACCCGCTGCCCGGAAGTTTGCCACCGGCGGGTGACCCCTCACCCACCGGCTACCCGCTAGAAATTGTCCCACTTCGGGATCCCGGCTTCCCCGTTTGATGTCCCCCGACCCCCGTGGTGTCCCAACGGACTCCGTCTATCGTGCCTTTGTCTTGTTTTGATGTTCGGGTACCATTCGTAGGTTGAATGAGTCTTGTATATTGCATGCTAGTTGAATTGTTATCCCGTTGGCCTAGGTGTAAGAAGTATGAACCCCTTAGGATTATTCTTAGTATGTGGATGATCACGCATAGGTTTCGTTATACGATTTCTCCCCCTTCCCAATGTGTCAATGTGGGTTGCATGTGTTTGGTATGTGTTATATGTGCATGATACCCCAATTTGGTTGCGATCAAATTGGTTATTCCTGAGCTGCGGTTCAGAAGCTGGTTGTGGTTAGATTTACACTCTCGGGCTGCGGTCCACCGTTTGGTTGCGATCAAACGTTTTACATGAGCTGCGGTTCATATTCCTGGCTGCGGTCAGATGACTACTCTTGGGTTGCGGTCCACTGTTTGGTTGCGATCAAACATTATGATGAGCTGCGGTTCATCGGTCGGTTGCGATCGACCCCTCCGTGTTGCGATACGGGGCAGGGTGCTGCGGGGCCGTGTTAGAGCTATATGCGCTGACCCTCATGTATGGGCATGCGATTGGTCCTGTGGCGCCAACAAAGTGTGCTATGTGATGAGATATGGATGGTTTGATGATTACGAATGTTATGAAAGTGTGACCAAAGGATACATGCTAGTAAACCGTATATGCTTGGTTATGACTATTGGCTGTGCTTATCTCTATCTGTCGAATCTGTCTCTCTATGCTTGTGAATTGTATAACTGTTGACTGTGCTTATCCCTATCTGTCGAGTCTATTCCCTGTCTTAAAAGCTAGAGTCTCTTAGGATATATCTTCATGCTTCGAAATGGTTTTTCTTATATCTATATATCTATATATATATATATATATATATATATATATATATATGCCTATATGTATTGTATTTCAACGCGTTGGAGTGGGTTACCAGCATCTCTCGCTGAACAGATATATTTGGCTTTCAGGCACAGATGATTAGGCACTGGAGCGCGCTAGAGATTCGGAGCATAGAGTAGATAGTTCTCTTTCGGCCTGTGTGCCATGTTTATGTATTGATACTATTTGAGGATTCTAGAACTAAGCCTGTGCACCTGAGTTCTCTAGCTCAGGTGTGGCATAGCACCCCGTACTCTTATGTATGTTTTGGGATTTATGAGCATTTACCTTTATTATATAAGCTTCAAAAGTTTAAAATTTTCGAGGTGTTACAAAAGCACACACACACACAAACATATCTTCTAGTTCTCCAATTATCTTTTCCACACGAATTTACACACCATGACTATGGTGTCTATCAAATATATTCTCATACATCTTTTTGTCTTTAATGAATTTACAAATTAATCTACGTTCCTGAAACATCGACTTCGCGAAATCTTAAGAAAGTGGGGGACTAGATGATGGATGGTATACTAGGTTGACTAGATAGACCGGCCCAAAATGTTGAGCAAGCGCATTTGTACATCTTGCATAATATAAGTGAAGGCGAGCCCTATTTAGATGAACACAATGCCTTGATTAAATAGCAAAATCCACGAATGACAGACATGTGGATTGTGAGAAAACATAGTCGTACTTTTATTGGTTGGTTCAGGAATAAAGTTCTTAGAGATAATAATGTTTCTGATACTGTATGATGGGTAGCTCATGGTCCTGGTATGCAAGTCATATGTTATACTGGATATGACATTAATGGGTTTTCTTTTGACACAAAATCTCAAGATGAAATGAGCACTATGCAAAATAGTGGAGTTTCTTTGATCGTTGCAAATGCAATGCATTTCAGTAGTTCGAAAGATAAAAATTTTGTGATTGTAGAGTTGTCATATTATGGTGTGGTTGAAGAAATATAGGAGGTTGATTATGTTCACTTTAGGGTGTCGATGTTCCGATGTAGATGGGTAGATAGTAAACACTGTGTAAAAGTTGATGATTTAGGATTTACACTTGTAGATATTAGTAGGGAATGTCACAAAAAGAGCAATTTATAAAGGCATCCCAAGCAAAACAAGTATTTTATGTTAGTGATTCTTGTGACAAAAAATGGTCAGTTGTTCTTCATGGGAAGAGACAAATTACTGGTGATGGGAATGAAGACGTTAGTTACGATATTGAGGAAATACGATTGTAATTTTGCATATTCTCAGTATATGGATATTGATTTAGTTTCTAGCAACCAGAATACTGGACTAACTGACTCAGATTCTCAATCGATCAGTCATCCAGATAAAATAGCAGATTAATTTAAAAGGGGAAGACTAAGGCAGAAGGTAAACCAACACATATGTTTGTTTACCCAGTTCGATATAGTGTGTATCTACATCTGGGGGACGATCTCCGAGGTGTCCAATCCACTAACTCATAATCCAATGTACAAAGGTAGAGAAAAAAACAATCTCACCCAAGTGCCCCACACAAGGTCAGTACCTAGTCTACAAAGGTTTAGCGGATTGTTGAAGTCGGAGAGCCACGCATGCAGAAGTCCAATGAAATCCCTTCAATTGGAGAGCTAACTCTGATGTAGTCCGCTTCAATGACGCAGTCCCACGTTGTTCCCAAAACTGAGTGATCTTCGCGTCTTATCGTTTAACCAACGTTGATACTTCTCAAGTTCTTCTTCATAATCACCAATAACTTATTTTCTTGAGAAGAGGCATGACAAACAGAGATGTGTATTTTGTTTAGTATAGAGTGTTGCGGCTTCAATCAATGCAACCCTAATTCTTGAACGACCGAGGATATATATACTTCTTTGATTTGGACACTCTCCAAAAATATCTCTGATTGTAGATGGTAGGACTTTTTGTGAAGAAAGAAATCTTTAAGATTCGGTCCATACCTTTCACGCTGATTCGCTGATATTCTTTCCAAAACTGTCATCTCGTAACCACGTCCCAGCTTTTTAGAAAACTTTCCTTTATCAGATCTTCAGTGGCTTGATCTAGCAGTGCGTTTGTTGATTGTACTGATGAGGTAGTCTTCTCTAAGGATGAACATAAACACCAAGCTAAACCCTATCTTAATTTGCCATAATAATATTGTCAATTATATGTTGGGGTTTTTCATCAAAAATAAAACACTAACAAACTCCCCCTTTGGCTATTATTTGTCAAAACAACTCAACTAAGGATAAAACATCTTAGCTAAAGATAGAGAATAACATAATAAAAAAATACTGGCACCAGTTAGCAAAGGAAATATTGTTTGAATTACAACCCATAAAGTCATCAGCACAGAAGCCGTGATGGATAAAAAAAAAAAAACATAGAGCAGACCAATTCTTCACAAATCTTCACCAAAAAAAAAAAAAAAAAAAAAAAAAAAAAACCGCCCAGACAGGGTCAGAAGGTACTTCAACCAACCACAAAAGGCCATCACAATCACAAAATCTCCCCCTGAGTTATAGCACTCCCCCTTTTTGCCAAAGATAGACAAAGGACACGTTAAGCATTTGAGGGACCTTCACTGTCAGTCTTCACATTTTCACCAGCAGAAGACTCAGTCAAACTCATTCGAAGTAGAATAGTTGAAAGTTCAGTGCGGGCCGCATTGAGCTGATTTGAGATAATATTACTCACAGTCTCCAGCTCAGACACACGAGCCTTTAGTCGCAGGGATAGCTGCACATCTCGAGCATATGGGGTATCTTCAACAGTAGCATCAGCCTTAGAGGTATGCGGAGGATCAACAGGTGTAACATCCCTGATGTGTTTGCCAGTCAAAAGGCGTGGATCCACAGTATATAGGAGAGAATGAGCAATGACTTCACTTGGCATCGGAATCAAGCCCTGGGAGGTTAGCACACCAAAGATGAGATTAGGATACAGAAGTCTTACCTTCTGTTCCCTGGGATGTATCAATGTGAGAATATGATAAAAGATCAATCGCCCTAAATCAATGGTCATCTTGGTGCCAACTCGAAACAGAAGAGCAGCTAGAGTCTTTCCAACTGTATGAAAATGTGCTGATGGAAGCCAGTTGTGCAAAGCAATCCGGTGTAGAATAACAAACTTGGAGGTAAATTGAGAGCTGGACAAGGTATCATTATCACCAGTTGGCCAAACAGGTGCCAGTCCTCCAGTGAGGGTCTTCGCCACCAAATCTCAGTCAGAAATTTCTTCTTCTTCAACTGTCTTCAACCCATAGTACTGATTAATCATGTCTGGTCCGAACACATACCACTTACCCCTAATGAAGATTTGCTGGCACTTCTCACCAGTAAGATTATCAATCTCCTCATTTAGGTTGCAGTAGAATTCGTAAGTTAGAAACTTTGAGTAAGGACAAATGGATGTCACTGTCTTCAGCAGACCAACCTCACTCAGCAGAGGCAATACATCACAGACTGAATTCAATTGATTCTCATCCACCGATCGCTGTACGATCAACTCACGTCTCACCGTTGTAGACCACTTGTCTTGAGCAATTGCAGAGACAAACTGTGGTTTGTAAACAGACGTATCAGTACTTTCAGAAACATTCTGCACATCAGGAATAACACTCCTTCCTCTCGGCTTTGAAGCAACTTTCATCTTTCTGCTTGTTGTTGACGGAACAACTGTATGAGCCTTATTTTTAACAAAAGACCTCAGGATCTTACAAACTTGTCTGACCGACGGATCACTTTCAGTCTTCTCAGAATCAGCCGACCTTTTTCTCTTCTCTGGTTGAGTAGATTATGTAAGTTCATCACCATTCACCAGCATCCACAGCAACTTTCTCTGGAACTCCTTTCCTTTTGGACTTTCGCCTTTCTCTGACAGGTGAGCTCTTTGTAGGACTCGGAGATACAGAATTGCTGGTCTTAGACACGTGGACAGTAGAGGATGCAAGAAGCTTGGTGACTTCTCTGATTTTGAAAGATGTAGAATCTGGGTGTGCTGTCTCTTCCACTGTTAGAGACCCAATTGGATCAGAGGATCGAGCTTGTGAACTGTAGACTTAAGCCAGAATTCGTTCATCATCACTGTCTGTTGGAATAGAAGGATCATGCGTCGGACGTATGACTTTGTATGGTGCAGGTATTGAAGCAGAGGGTAATCCCGCAAAGAGGCGAATATGGTCGAGGCTCTCAGCCAGATTGGAAGATGTATGGACAGGGACACCATCTGTAACACCCCGTGTTACGGCCCTCAATCCCGGATTAATTATTTAATTAATCCCGTTAATAATAATTAAATATGATTTAATTATGTTAGGTTTACCTTTAATTAATTAGTAAGGTTCACCATGAACCGTGGACCCTTGCCCGAATAAGAATCTTAAGCCTGTTAGGAATAAAGGAAGTAGGCCTTTTACTATTCAGATTATGATTAGGATCCTCTTTAATTAATATGGTCCATTATGGACCATGGACCCTTATCCCTAAAACAAGCCCTAGCCCTATAAGGAATAGAATTAGCAAACCCATACCATTCAGGCCCTAACTAGGAGTCTTAAATATATAAATAGGGAACTTAGGAGGCACCTAGAATCCCCACCACAATAATCTCTCACCACCCAAAGAGTTCCAAGAATCCCCTGAGGAGAAATCAAGAAATCAAGAAAGCTTAAAGAAAGATCCTTCATAGCCAAGGAATTAATTAAGGCTAAGAGGTAACCCATGTCTCAACAAAACCTATTTTCATAGTTATGATTCCCCCTTAGGGTTTCCCCATATTATTGTGTATTAATGACTTGTGATGATTATTATTGATGATTGATGTGATGATCCCATGAGGGATCTTGATAATCTTGATATTGGAAGATTCTTGATAATTATGATGTTCTTGGTGATTATACGGAGTTCTTGATGATTATGTGTTGTTCTTAATAATTGTATGATGCCCTTGATGCTTACGTGTTAATCTTACCGAATCTTGCAATTAGAAGGCGAATCGTATTCTTGTTGATATAAAAGTGATTAGAACCCTAGGTTGTATCGTATGATGTTATTCTTGGGTTATCGGGTGGGGTAATCGCATGTTTGGGTGTTGATTATGTTTAGAAAAGCATGATAGGTTATGTGCCGTTCGTTCCTCGTATTTGATCCGTTAATTGTCTACGTGTTGTCGTTAATTGCGTTGTAAAGTGTCTAAGCATGGTTTCGGGTTCCACAATGGTTCCCGGGGCGAAATTGTGTGATAAGAGTCAGTGGGGGGTAGGGGACCCGCCACCTACCCACGGCCGGAAAACACATCTCCGGCAGCGGGCGGGCAGCTGCCCGCCGGCGACCCGCTGCCTGGAACAGTAATACCCGACGGGCAGCCGGCGGGTGGCCCCCCACCCACCGGCTACCCGCTGGAAAATCATCCCCCTCGGGATCTCGGCTCCCCCGTTTGATGTTTCCCCGACCCCCGTGGTGTCCCAACGGACTCCGTTTATCGTGCCTATGTCTAGTTTGATATTTCGGGTACCGTTCGTAGGTTTATGAGTCTATTATATTGCATGCTAGTTGAATTGGTATCCCGTTGACCTAGGTGGAAGAAGCATGAACCCCTTAGGACTATTCTTAGTATGTGATGGATCACGCATAGGTTTTGTTATACGTTTTCTCCCCCTTCCCAATGTGTTAATGTGGGTTGCATGTACTTGCTATGTGTTATGTGTGCATGTAACCCCGAGTTGGTTAAGATCAATCGGGCTATACGGGCAGTCGGGTGGGCTGAGAACCATACCGGCTGTTAACCAGGCTGGTAGAGACCGGTCAGGTATATAAATATTATATAGGACTAAGTTCCACTATACGGGCAGTCGGATGGGCTGAGAACCATACCGGCTGTTAACCAGGCTGGTAGAGACCGGTCAGGTATATAAATATTATATAGGACAAAGGTCCACTATACGGGCAGTTGAATGGGCTGAGAACCATCCCAACTGTTAACCAAGCTGGTAAAGACCGGTCAGGTATATAAATATTATGTAGGACAAAGGTCCATCAGTCAGTTGCGATCGGCTCCTCCGTAATGTGAGACGGGGCAGGGTGCTGCGGGGCCGTGTCAGAGCTATATGCGCTGACCCTCATGTATGGGCATGCGATTGGTCCTGTGGCGCCAACAAAGTGTGTTATGTGATGAGATATGGATGAGTCGTGTTTATGAGTACATCGGGGGGATGTGACTATGGGATTTATGCTGGGGATTGTTTACGTTGGGTTATGATTATTAATTGTGCTCAGCTTTATCTGTCTTGCCTGTTGAGGATTGTATACGCCTGTTATAACTGTTGTTTGTGTCTAGCCTTATCTGCCGAGTCATTCCCGGTTTTAAAAGCTAGAGTCTCGTAGGATATATCTTCATGCTTCAAAATGGTTTTCGTATATCTATATATATCTCTATATGTAATGTATTTCAACGCGTTGGAGTGGGTTACCAGCATCTCTCGCTGAACAGATACATTTGGCTTTCAGGCACAGAAGATTAAGTCACTGGAGTGCGCTAGAACTTAGAAGTAGATAGTTTCCCTTTTGGCCTGCGTGCCACGTTTACGTATTTACGCTTTGAGGATATTAGTTAGTTAGCCTGTGCACTTGGGTTCTCTAGCCCAGGTGTGGCATAGCACCCCGAACGCTTGTATTTATATCTTGGGATTTAATAAGATTCTACCTTTATTATAAGTTTTAAATGTCTTGAAAATCTGGGGTGTTACACCATCAATCGACTCATAAGGACAGGGGCTTTCTGACTGTTCAGCAATAGTCTCAACAGACTCCTTTTGTGGATATTCAACTGGGCACTTCTCAACAGAGGGCTTATCAGATAGAGTAGACACAGGGTTAACAGAAACCACAGAACGATCAACATCCGAAGAATACACAACTAGACTCAATTTATCAATATCATCAGACTTGTGAACAATCCCTTCAGATTCAGTCTCAAGAACAGGTTTTGCAGACTCAGATTTTACAGAGGGCAACTGGGGTGGATCATCAGATACACTAGGCTTAGCAAACAGTAAAAGTGTTGTAGACTCTGGACTAATATCAGACTTCTCAATAGGTAGCTCAGACTCATCATCAACAGATAACAACTCAGAAGTCTTATCAGGAGAAATTTCAATAGGAGTGTCAGAAGTATTTGACCTGTTTTGTAGAAACTCGATTTGGCGCTTAGCTTCCTCCTGGGCTGCTTGAAGATATAGAGGATGTGCTTCTGCCCGTCGTCGAGAAATTTCCTCCCATTCCAGAGCTCTTTGTGCAAAGAATTTGAGGAATGCCCCTGCACGATTCCCGTCTTCTGGTTCGTCAATAGAGGCATCATCTGCTTCAGAAGCCATCACCAAAAGGTTGCTTGTATCATCGTCTGACCAGTTCTCATAGAACTCATGGTAGTCAAATATCACCGTGACAAGGATCTCGTCTCGAAGAACAGGGTCCAACTTCTTCTTCTTCTTCATTTCTAGTTGGAGAAGTGTATTCACATGCTTCCGAGCACTCTCTGGTGAGTGATTTTTCCTTCCCAACTTGATAATGATGTTTCTCACTGCATCTGCCATATCTGCGTGTATTTGAAGGAAAGGGTGTGGAAAATCCCTAGGCGGAGGTATTTGAGAGAAGGTTTACAGAGAACAGAGTTGTGTTGAGGGATTCTTTTTCACTAAGAACGATCAGACGAAATATATAATCCCAAGGGTGAGGAACGATAGTTAATGCGGCTGACAGGATGCATGCAGCTATGAAGTGATTGATGCAACGGTATAGCTCCTTTTTAGGGATAAAACGGAAGATTTGAAATTTGAAAGATGCAATTTAATGTGGCTAAGCTAGGTTAAGATATTTACTTAACAAAACATAAGAGGGATAATTTAGGAAGTCAAAGATTGAAAATTTAACTCGAGGTTGAGAAAACCAAAAACCCTTCTTCTGATTTACCGTTATGCCTTAACAGTCCATCATGCAGATCCCCAGAGTAGATATGAGAATCTCAAACCGATTCACGTCTAGAGGCTTAGTCAGTATGTCTGCCAGTTGCTTGTCTGTCTGAATATATTCCAACTCTATCTCTTTTGCTTCGACCAAATCTCTGATATAGTGATGCCTTATATCAATATGTTTGGTCCTAGAGTGTTGAACAGAATTCTTTGAAATGTTTATTGCACTGATATTGTCACAGTAAAGTATCATAGAATTTTGAGAGAGACCATAATCCAGCAGCATCTGCTTCATCCAGACAAGTTGAGTGCAACATCCTCCAGCTGCTATGTATTCTGCCTCAGCTGTACTCAGGGAAATTGAATTCTATTTCTTACTTAGCCATGATACTAAGTTCTTCCCAACAATGAAGCATCCACCAGATGTGCTTTTTCTGTCATCAATATTTCCTGCCCAATCAGCATCACAGTATGCAATCAGACTCAGTTCACTGTCCTTGGAATACCATATTCCATATTGAATTGTACCCTTGATGTATTTCAAAATCCGTTTAGCAGCTATTAAGTGTGACTCTTTGGGAAGAGATTGATATCTTGCACATATGCCAACACTGAACATTATGTCTGGTCGACTGGCAATTAGATAGAGCAGACTTCCAATCAGACTTCGATAGATTGTGGAATC